GGGATCCCTCTCCTACCTGTTGACAAACCTTTTCCCGTTCATGCCTTAGACAGCCGCCCGTTGGGGTCGGGGTTGATCAGGGAGATCACAGCGCCACTTCGGATGTGTGCGCAGGGGGGTCATGAGGAGACTATACAGTTGTATCTGATCGACTCTCCTGCGTACCCAGTGGTGCTGGGGATTCCCTGGTTAAGCACCCATAACCCTGCTATTTCGTGGCAACAGAGGGCTCTCGATGGGTGGTCTGCTCAGTGCGAGGGGCGATGTCTGGGTGTTTCCGTGGGGGCGACTTCGGTGGAAAGTCCAAACCAAGTGCCCGCACTGCACATTCCGCCTGAATATGGGGATTTAGCACTCGTGTTTAGCAAAACTAGGGCGACGCAGTTGCCTCCTCATAGACAGGGGGATTGTGCGATTGATCTCCAGGCAGGAGCAGCGCTCCCACGGAGCCATGTGTATCCTTTGTCTCAAGAGGAGAGAAAAGCTATGGAGACTTATATAGCCGAATCTTTGAGACAAGGATACATTCGGCCCTCCATTTCTCCCGCCTCCTCGAGCTTCTTTTTTGTGAAAAAGAAAGATGGAGGGTTGCGCCCGTGCATTGATTACCGTGGTCTCAATCAGATTACTGTGAAATACAGTTATCCACTCCCTCTGATTGCGACCATGACGGAGTCATTGCATGGAGCGCGGTTTTTCACAAAACTGGATCTCAGGAGCGCGTATAACTTGGTGCACATTAGGGAGGGTGACGAATGGAAGACATCGTTTAGTACCACGTCAGGTCATTTCGAATATCTCGTCATGCCATATGGGTTGATGAATGCTCCATCAGTCTTCCAATCCTTCGTAGATAACATTTTCTGGGATATGCAGGGACAAGGGGTGGTCGTGTACATTGATGACATTCTGGTGTACTCGTCAACCCGAGCCGAGCATATAACCCTGGTGCGTCGTGTATTGAGGAGGCTGTTGGAGCACGACCTATATGTCAAGGCAGAGAAATGTCTGTTTTTCCAGGAGTCGGTCTCCTTTTTGGGTTATCGGTTGTCCGCGTCAGGGGTGAGAATGGAGGTGGATCGTGTGTCCGCTGTGCGTAATTGGCAAACCCCAACTACTGTAAAAGAGGTGCAGCAGTTTTTGGGCTTTGCGAATTACTACCGGAGGTTTATCCGGGGTTTTGGACAGGTGGCAGCTCCCATCACGTCCCTTCTGAAGGGGGGTCCGGTGCGCCTGCAGTGGTCAGCCGATGCGGACAGGGCCTTTAGGAGACTGAAGGACCTGTTTACGTCGGCTCCGGTGCTAGCGCATCCGGATCCCGCATTACTTTTTCAGGTCGAGGTAGACGCGTCTGAGGCTGGTATAGGGGCCGTCCTCTCTCAACGGTCCGGCACGCCACCTAAACTCCGCCCCTGTGCCTTTTACTCTAAGAAGCTCAGCCCGGCGGAGCGTAACTATGACGTTGGGGACAGGGAGCTGTTAGCTCTAGTTCAAGCCCTTAAGGTGTGGAGGCATTGGCCTGAGGGGGCTCAACACCCTTTCCTCATTTTGACTGACCATCGGAACCTGGAGTACATCCGGGCAGCGAGGAGACTGAACCCTCGCCAGGCTCGATGGAGTATGTTTCTCACCAGGTTCGTATTTAAAATCACGTACATCCCTGGGTCCCAGAATGGTAAGGCAGATGCGCTGTCCCGGCGGTATGACACGGAGGAGAGGTCCGTTGAGCCCACTCCCATACTACCGGAGTCTTGCCTTGTGGCACCGGTGGTGTGGGAGGTCGATGCCGAGATCGAGCGAGCGTTGCGTACCGACCCCAGCCCTCCACAGTGTCCTGAGGGTCGGAAGTACGTTCCGTGCGAGATTCGGGATCGACTCATTTACTGGGCTCACACGTCACCCTCCTCTGGACATCCGGGTATCGGCCGGACGGTGCATTGCCTTAGCACTAAATACTGGTGGCCCACTTTGGCTAGGGATGTGAGGGTTTATGTCTCCTCCTGCTCGGTGTGTGCCCAGTGTAAGGCGCCCCGACATCTGCCCAGGGGTAAGTTACAACCCCTGCCCGTTCCACAACGACCATGGTCCCACCTCTCGGTGGATTTTGTGACAGACCTTCCCCTCTCGCAGGGGAATACCACCATCCTGGTCGTTGTGGACCGGTTCTCTAAGGCCTGTCGTCTTCTCCCTATGTCGGGTCTTCCTACTGCCCTACAGACCGCTGAGGCCCTATTTACCCATGTCTTCCGGCATTACGGGGTACCCGAGGATATAGTGTCTGATCGAGGTCCCCAGTTTACCTCTCGTGTTTGGAGAGCGTTCATGGAGCGTTTGGGGGTCTCGGTTAGCCTTACCTCAGGGTACCACCCGGAGAGTAACGGGCAGGTAGAACGTGTCAACCAGGATGTGGGTAGGTTTCTGAGGTCGTATTGCCAGGACCAGCCGGAGGAGTGGGCACGGTACATTCCCTGGGCCGAGATGGCCCAGAACTCTCTCCGCCACTCCTCTACTAACCTAACCCCCTTCCAATGTGTGTTAGGTTACCAGCCGGTTCTGGCACCTTGGCAGCAGAGCCAGATCGAGGCCCCTGCGGTGGATGATTGGATGAGGCGCTCGGAAGAGACGTGGAACGCTGCCCACGTCCACCTGCAGCGGGCCGTCCTTCGTCACAAGGCGAGCGCCGATCTCCACCGCAGTGAGGGGCCGGTGTACGCACCCGGAGATCGAGTCTGGCTCTCTACCAGAAACCTACCCCTCCGCCTGCCCTGCCGGAAGCTGGGTCGGCGGTTTGTGGGGCCCTTTAAAGTCCTGAGAAGATTGAACGAGGTATGTTATAGATTACATCTACCTGTTGAGTATAAGAATATTAACCCCTCGTTCCATGTGTCTCTTCTCAGGCCGGTGGTAGCTGGTCCACTCCAGGACAATGAGATAGGGGAGACTCCTCCGCCCCCACTGGACATCGAGGGGGCTCCGGCGTACACCGTTCGGTCCATCTTGGACTCTAGACGCCAGATGGGGGGTCTCCAGTATCTCGTGGAGTGGGAGGGGTACGGCCCGGAGGAGCGGTGCTGGGTGCCGCGGAGGGACATCCTAGACCCATCTCTCCTGTCGGAGTTCCACCGGGACCATACCGCGCGCCCTGCTCCGCGTCCTCCTGGTCGTCCCCGAGGCCGGGGTCGGCGCACGGCTGGAGCCGCGCGTCAAGGGGGGGGTACTGTCACGGTTTCGGCCGAGACTGCTCCTCCTCCTGGTTCGGGCAGGCTTCGGCGGTCGTCGTCCCCGGAGTACTAGCTGCCACCGATCTATGTTTCATGTTCGTTTGGTTTTGTCTGGATGTTGTACACCTGTGTCTTGTTAGTCCTCGTTAGTGTCCTATTTAGTTCTCGTTGTGTGTGCTTGTCGTTGTGTGTGATTGCGCTTCTGTTTCGTGTTTGGAGCTACATTTTCCCTCAAGTGTCTTGGAGAGGGTTGTTTGCACAGCCTTCGGGCTTATTGTGCTTCTGTTATATATATATAATATATATTGCACTAAAGCCTTTGGACTGAGCCTCTGCGTCCTGCGCATGATTCCTACACCACACCCACCTTCAGCACGCCTTGACAATAGTGGTGGCTGCATCATGTTATGGGTGTGCTTGTAGTCCTTGAGGACGGGCGAGTTTTTCAGGATAAAAAATAAACGGAATGGAGCTAAGCGCAGGCAAAGTCCTAGAGGACAACCTGGTTCAGTCTGCTTTCCACCAGACACTGGGAGATTAATTCACCTTTCACCAGGACAATAACCTAAAACACAAGTCCAAATCTACACTGGAGTTGCTTACCAAGAAGACAGTGAATGTTCCTGAGGGGCAGAGTGACAGTTTTGACTTAAATCTACTTGAAAATCTATGGCAAGACCTGAAAATGGTAGTCTAGCAATGATCAACAACTAATTTGACAGAGTTTGAAGAATTTTGAAAAGAATAATGGGCAAACTTTGCACAATCCAGGTGTGGAAAGCTCTTAGAGACTTACCCAGAAAGACTCACAGCTGTAGACTCACAACTTCTACAAAGTATTGACTCAGGGGTGTGAATACTTAAGTAAATTCAAAATTTCTGTATTTCATTTTCAATACATTTGCAAAACTTTTTAAAAACATGTTTCAATTTGTCATTATGAGGTATTGCGTGTACATGGATGAGTTTTTATTTAATCAATTTTGAATTCAGGCTGTAATACAACAACATGTGGAATAAGTCAAGGGGTATGAATACTTTCTGAAGGCACTGTATCTGACTCTGGATCAGCAGTTAGAGGCAACTTTTACAATCTGGAATACAGGAACAGGAAGCGATCCTCTACCCATTTATATCTGTTGGAGATGATGAGGCATTAATTGAGTAAAGTGTTGTTTTCCATCACTAAGCCTCGTTAAACTAAGTGCCCTCCCCCTCGTTAAGAGGCTATTAGTGCCGAGACAGAGAAAGAGATAGGAGAGGATGGGAGGGGAGTGGTCCCTTTTTGGACCGTCTCCAGTTCTTGGTACCTCTGATCATCGAGATAAAGATAAATATTAATTTCTATCAGTTTTACCCCTCACATCTCTTTGTCTGGGAACACACTGGGTTGTGAGATGACAATGTGATCTATGTATCCTAAATTGCTCCCTGTCCTTCCCTTTAATTGATAAAGAATGGTAGAGAATGAGTCATCATATGATAGAAGAGTAGGTGGCCAGTACATTGCAATAAACTTTAGTAAACTATTAACAGCGGCAGGTAGACTAGTGGTTAAGAGCGTTGTGCCAGGAACCGAAAGGTTGCTGGTTCGAATCCCGAGCCGACTAGGTGAAAAACCTGTCAATGTGCCCTTGAGCAAGGCACTTAACCCTGCTCTGGAAAAGAGTGTCTGCTAAATGACTCAAATGTAAACAGAAAATATTTACAAAATAATACATATTCACGCTGCCTAAGGAAGACTCTAGTAGTCGAAATGCGTTGCAGTTGTGCGTCCGGATGTACTATGCTGAGCTGCTCCTGTATGTATTCTTTTGTAACTATTTTCTGTTAATAGTTCACTGAAGTTTATTGCAATGTACTGGCCGCCTGCTCTTCTTCTTTCTTGGATTACCTGCCATTTAGGGGCCTACCTTCCCACTGCCCTCATCTCACCTGTCATCATATGGTAGAAACCAATTATGTAGAAACCAGTCTTTTCACCTATCGGTGGTCATTAAGGAAAGGAACGTTTATTTTTAGTAGCCCTTACCTCAGAAGCCAACCAAGGGCTGTGTCCTAATCCAGTTGAATCAGTGAGCTCACCTGAGAGCAGGCGTTCATTTAGCAGCCAGGTCATTACTGACAGTGACAGTGTGTGTTTAGAGTATTGGTGTGTTTGCAGGCAGTCATTTGTGTCTCATATTACATCTCCTTTCCCCAATTGGCCGTTTGCCAAGCATTTGAACATTTCCCATTAGAAATCAGCTTGACGAGATTCGGTCAAAGCCCACCCAGAGTGGATGAATGCATCCTGGCCAGATCCTCTATTGGACCACATATTGAATTTCTATCTTTGTGCCTATATGACTTTGCCATTTGTGGGCTGGCAATGAGTCACTGAAAGCCTGTGTGTGTGTGTGTGTGTGTGCGTGCATGTATGCGTGTCTGTGTGCATACGTATGTGTGTCTGTGTGTGTGTGTGTGTGTCTGCGTCTCTGTGTGTGCGTGCTTGTGTATGATCCCCAGTCCCATTAATCTTCTCCAGAGGGTCAGTGGCCTCACAGTCAGTGGGAGATCTATCCAAATTGGCTTAGCATTGATCACTGGCCTGACAAGATACCCTTTCAGTGTCATTTGACCCTCATTTTCGGGGTACTTTACAAGTGTGTCTGTGTGTATGTGTATATAGTGTGCATGTGCGTGTTACAGACATAGGAATAGAGTTATTGCCTTTCTCTCAGCTAATAAAACCAGCTTTAAGTCGCTCTGACCTTTGACTCAGGTAGGAGTAGCACTTGTTGTCAGGCAGACCCTGAAAAACATTCCAACCCCGAAAAACATTCTAACCCCATAGCCATGTTCTGAAGCGAACTAAAATACTTATTCAAATACACATTAACTGGGCTGTAAAGCACATTCATACACATTAATCATTTTCACTCAGAAGACACAGTATTTTACTACTATATGGGCTCTGGTCAAAAGTAGTGCACCATATAGGGAACAGGGTGCCATTTTGGACGCATGCCTGGAACAAGACTGTCTGCTGTGCACAAGGCCTTTACTTCTTATTTTCCCCCTGATATACAGTGTTAATGTCTCTCCTCTCCTCTTCCCAGTCTGAAAGCCGCCCTCTCTTCCCCTCCCGTGTGCGGTACCGTGGACGTCTCTGGTGTGCCACTGGGTGTACTGGACACGGAGCACCTGGCTGCCCACCTCTGCCTGCACGCCGCCCGTGTGCGAAGCCTTGAGTTGGGCTTTACCGAGCTCACAGACCAGGTATTACGAAAACCGCTCAACATTACGAATACAGCTTGTATAATATATTAAATAACTACGACACATTGTCATTTCAACCAAAAATCATAGTATTTCACGTTCTAAAACAAAAATTCTATACTGAGCAAGAGCTTGTGTAACCCATCCCCAGCACAACATGGAATATCTCCAGAGAAAGGAAGTTACACCCTATTAGTAATGCACAGACGCAGTCGCCAGTTGTCTCCAAATAACCATGTATATTTTGGTGAATGTCACAATATACAAGGGATGCATTTTCAACTCTGTTATGCTCCAGGGGGAAGTTTCCACTAGGTGCAGATCCAGTATCAGTTTCCCCTCCCCCAATCTTACACTTAAAATTAGTGGGGGAAATGCATCAGTGACTAAGGGCAACTTCACCCTACTCCCTCTGTTACACAGGCACTGCTATTGCTGCTGCCCACGCTGGCCACGCTGCCCTGCCTCCAGACGCTGGCGCTCAACGGCAACCGGCTGACGCGCATCGTCCTCCACCAGCTCACCGACGCCCTCAAGGACCCGCGCTGCTTCCCCACCCTCACCTGGATGGACCTGGGCAACAACGTGGACATCTTCTCCCTCCCCCAGCCCTTCCTCATGGGCCTGAGGAAGCGCTGCCCCAAGCAGGGCAAGCTGCCCACCATCCAGGAACAGGGAGAGGCCCAGGGACAGGGGGGCCATGCCCAGGGAGAAGACCATAACGGCAGGCCACCCGAAGGGGAAAGCAGGGCTAGAGCTGGGGCCTCTGGTGAGTGGCAGGGATGGAGGACACTGGACGAGACTGAGGAAGAGGAGTTAGAGGGTGAGCTATGGGACTGTAACATGAGGATGCACAAGATTGAAAAGAGTGCAACGAAGAGTAAGTGAAAGAGAGATCCAATTAATGGAGACAGAGGACAAAATGATTTAAAGAGCGTTGCGCCCAGTGGCGGGGAGATTGATGATCACGGGTCCCCTCAGTCAACCAATCAGACCTGAAATTTTTTTTGGGGCTGCGTATTGAGTGAGGTGAAACATTCAGAAAGTTGCAGATAGAAATGTCATGAATAGAGCTGACACCATTCCCTATTCTGCATGACAGACAATCATTTCTACACAATGCATTACTATCTGTAACATTGTGCTCTTCTGAACAGGCCCCCTGTACATGGGTACTATTAACACCTCTAGAATTGCAATATTCTGGTAACTTTTCCAAAATTCCCAGGTTTTCCAGGTTGGAAGATTCCCGGAATCAGGAGGGAATGAACTTCGGAATTTTGGTAAAGTTACAGCAAGTCAAATAAAGATTAGTGCAAACTGGAAGTGTGACTTCTTTCCCTAATGATTTCCTAAGGCTGAGGTATTTTGTCAGTTATCAGTTATTCCTTACCAAGGCTAGATGAGGCTGAATGGCAACAACACCACACATAACTGCAATGCAACTAATTAATCTCATTAGTACATGACTGTTCAGTCTATTGAATATTCCATCAATGAACAGATGGATTTCTTGGCTGAATGAATGTTTTATTAATCCTTCAAAAGGGACACACACCTACACAAAGGAAGTTGATCAAATAAAGTTATTGACAGGAAAAGTAATTTACTACAGTTATACACAGCCTTTCCCCTTCATTTGCTTAACTGGGGGAATGGGATGGAGAAATGATTTACAAAAGGCAGGGTGGGGCTCAACTGGAGGAATGGGATGGAGAAATGATTTACAAAAGGCAGGATGGGGCTCAACAGGCTGAATGTTTCCCAAAGTGCACCTTATTCCCTATATCTTTGCCCTGTATAATGCACTACTTTTTACCAGAGCCGTATGGGCCCTGGTCAAAATTAGTGCACTATGTATAGGAAATAGGGTGGCATTTGGAACACATTCCATGTGTGGATGAGGCCACCTGAAATCAATGGCTGCATACATTTTACATTTTAAAATTTTTGTCATTTTGGTTAGGTCAGGGTGTGATTTGGGTGGGCATTCTAGTTTTTATATTTCTTTGTTGGCCGGGTATGTTTCCCAATCAAAGACAGCTGTCTATCGTTGTCTCTGATTGGGGATCATACTTAGGCAGCCTTTTTCCCACCTTAGTTTGTGGGATCTTGTTTTTGTATGGTTGCATTGTAGCCTGCAGAACTTTACGTTCGTTTGTATTTTGTTGTTTTGTCTGTGTTTCATTTAATAAATTAATATGTTTGCCTACCACGCTGCACCTTGGTCCGAGCCTTCAATCAACGAACGTGACAGTAAACATTGGTTTGAGCTACTTTACACCATTGTTAAATCCCTGAGACTAGAAGACATGTGCAAGTCCACACTTTGGGAGAAGGGAGGGGTGCGTCCCTGGGAGGGGTGCGTCACTTGAGTGGGTTGAGTTACTGACGTGATCTTCCTGTCTGGGTTGGCGCCCCCCCCTTGGTTTGTGCTGTGGTGGAGACCTCTGTGGGCTATACTCGGCCTTGTCTCAGGATTGTAAGTTGGTGGTTGGGGATATCCCTCTAGTGGTGCGGGGGCTGTGCTTTGGCGGAGTGGGTGGGGTTATATCCTTCCTGTTTGGCCCTGTCCGGGGGTTTCTTCGGATGGGGCCACAGTGTCTCCGGACCGCTCCTGTCTCAGCCTCCAGTATTTATGCTGCAGTAGTTTATGTGTCGGGGGGCTGGGGTTAGTTGGTTATACCTGGAGTACTTCTCCTGTCTTATCCAGTGTCCTGTGTGAATTTAAGTATGCTCTCTCTAATTCTCTCGTTCTCTCTTTCTCTCTGAGAACCTGAGCCCTAGGACCATACGTCAGGACTACCGGGCATGATGACACCTTGCTGTCCCCAGTCCGCCTGGCCTTGCTGCTATTCCAGTTTCAACTGTTCTGCCTGCGGCTACGAAACCCCTACCTGTCCCAGACCTGCTGTTTTCAACTCTTAATGATCGGCTATGAAAAGCCAACTGAGAGACCTGAGCCCTAGGACCATACGTCGGGACTACCGGCCGTGGTGACTCCTTGCTGTCCCCAGTCCGCCTGGCCTTGCTGCTATTCCAGTTTCAACTGTTCTGCCTGCGGTTATGGAACCCCTACCTGTCCCAGACCTGCTGTTTTCAACTCTTAATGATCGGCTATGAAAAGCCAACTGAGATTTATTCCTGATTATTATTTGACCATGCTTGTCACTTATGAACATTTTTGAACATCTTGGCATGGTTCTGTTATAATCTCCACCCGGCACAGCCAGAAGAGGACTGGCCACCCCTCATAGCCTGGTTCCTCTCTAGGTTTCTTCCTAGGTTTTCGCCTTTCTAGGGAGTTTTTCCTAGCCACCGTGCTTCTACACCTGCATTACTAGCTGTTTGGGGTTTTAGGCTGGGTTTCTGTACAGCACTTCGAGATATTAGCTGATGTAAGAAGGGCTATATAAAATAAAATTGATTGATTGATTGATTGAATGGATATGCAGCCTATGTTAATAGTCACACACCTTTGAGTCATTAGTAAAAAAGGTTATTATATAAAAGGGCTAATAGTTGTTGCAGTAGTAGGTAAGACAATGGATCCAGAGCTGTATAGCTTAATTATGGACTTTAAAGTCCATGGCAGATACCCAGACAATTAAACTAAAACAGAACGGTTTGCCATTACATGGAGGGATAAAACCTTTGAGATGAAGGATAAGATTAATTGCATCCCTATTACCCATGCTTGTCACGGTTTCGGCCGAGGCAGCTCCTCCTCCTTGTTCGGGCAGGTTTCGCCGGTCGTCGTCTCCGGAGTACTAGCTGCCACCGCTCTATGTTTCTTGTTTGATTGGTTTTGTCTGTTAGTCACACCTGTTTTGTGTTATGTCTCATTTAGCACCCTATTTAGTTTCCTTGTTGTTAGTTTAGTGTTGTGTGTAATTGTTCGTGTCGTGTTGTTGCGCTACCCGTGTCGGTACGCTATTTTCATAGCTTCCTCCTTGTGTTTAGGAGAGTATTTTCGCACCTGTGTGTGCGCTCGCTTATTTACGCCTGTGTGCGTCCCTTTGCCTCCGGGCTGTTTGGATTATTTTTGTGTGCTCTAGTAAAGTCTTGTTGGACTTATCCTCTGCTTCCTGCGCCTGATTCTACACCACACCAATCCACAGCAACGTGACAATGCTCAATAATACCCATAAACATACTTTGTGTGGAAATTACCCTCTGGTGTTAAGTCAACTTATCAATTGTCTAATTTCAACAGATGGTGAACTACAATATAAGTGCACCCGGGTCAAGGACTCTCCACACCTGGCCAAAGTGGTCAGAACACCTGAGGAGGTGAATTCAATATTTGTGGATTTCCACAGCAGCCCACATAGGGTTCATTGTGTAGTCCACAAGACCCAGAGGGCCATTGGGGACAGATTCTACTGGCCAGGGATGTCCATAGATGTTGCACAATGGTTAGGTGTTATTCCCACTTCTATGATCATTGAAACTCTGCTTTTTAATTGTTATTCATGGTCTATGAAGTGCATTTTTTTTTTTTTTTTGATGTGCCCTTACAGAGAATGTGGAGGCTTCAACAATGTCACATGAACATTCTCAGATTTTCTCACACGTCTTGTATGCATCTTCTCTTAAGGTAGCCCAATGTCCTAACTGCCAGGGGAAAATATGTATTCTTAAACAGAAGGCAGACTACACTCCAATAACAGTAAGTCTTACTCAGCAATGTCATGTACTTGAACGGTCAGGTCAGAGGGGGACTTTGCTATGTTTCATAGGTTTCAAATTAAAAGTGCCCCAGCTGCCCAGTGGGTCACCACTGACTGGTTCTGACAGTTTTCCTTTTTTTTTTTTTACCCAAACGTATGAGCCATTGATACAAAACCTTTTATATGGCATTACACTTGATAATCACTCAAACAAAAAGTGCTTTTTAACTGGGTGATTATAATAATACTCATAGCATTTAATGTACAGGTGGAAATGTCTCTGGTGGATATGGAGGACAAATCCCTAAGTCAATGGTTTCCATTCAAATCTATGTTTCAAAGGCCTTTTTACATCAGCAGTTGTCACAAAATGCTTTCACGATACATGGCCTAAAACCTCTAAGATAAAGCAATGCAGAAGCAGAGTGAATGCCTAGAAGGCAGAAAACTAGGAAGAAACCAAGAGAGGAACCAGGCTCTGAGTGGTGGCCAGTTCTGGCTGTGCCATTCAGGAAGTGAATTATAAATCTGTGAAAATCTTTTTAAAGTCTTTTTTTTTTTAAAGGCACAGTTAGAATGATTTGAGTTGTCTATGAATCATCCCAATGTCAATAATTTTAAAGGTGATAAATCTCAACAAAGGCAAAGTATTTTTCAGACCTCAGAACCTTGGGAGTTGGTGGGAATGGACCTGGTGGGGCCGCTTGTACCCAACAGTGGTGACTAGACCTACATCTGTACGATGATGGATTACTTGACCAGGTGGAGTGAGGTATTCCCCGTGACAAGGAAGTCTGCAGAAGAGGTGTCAGGGTGCATTGTCCCCTGCTTTCATAAATTCGGTGCTCCAGTGTGGATCCTTACGGATCAGGGGCGCGAATCTGCCAATAACGTACGTTTCAGAATATCACATGATTACTGCATGCATGTAATTTAAGATATGATTATGAAAATATGATTATTTTGGGAAAGGACAAGAGATGGTGGGGACGTGAATGAGTGTTATAATAATGTTATATATTTTATAGTTGTACTTTCTCTGAAAATGCATTGTGTGCCAAACTTGGCATCCAACGGAGCTTATGTGCGCCATATCACCCTCACACTAATGGGTTGATGGAGCGCCTGAATGGAACCATTCAAAGGTAGGTACTAAGACTGGATACAGTGACTAACTGCTAGACATTTTAAGTATTGAGGTGTACAATCTGGCCT